AGCATGGATATGTATGCTACTAGCACAATGTATGCGCGCGGTGTCGGCTGAGTCTTTAACAAGCCGACACCGCCAATCCCCTTTGACGAATGCTGTGGCATAAGCATACGTCATCATTCTGAATGCCACAGCATTGTCCGGTTCAAGTTCCAGAGACTCACTGGAGATGAAAAAAATTTGTAAGTTTAATTTGTAACTGATTGTTATCTTAACATCAACTCATAATTCACTGTTTAATACCTGCAATTATGCTAGTGTCTGTTGCCGGCTCGAGTATTTGCCCTCTTTTCCAAAACGGAGGTCGAGCGACTTCTGAGGGACTTCGGCATCTTTGCGTATGCGAGAACTCTTTGATTCCGATTCGTATTAGTATTAGTTATAGTTGTAACGGCCTTCTGTAAGTTCAAAGCAAGTCGCAGATAATATTACTTACAAGGTTATTGACACTTTGCTCTCGTGTTTCGAAATTGTTTATTTTAAAAATGTTGAGGATATTAATGTGGGAGAGGCAAATGGTAAATTTTTTTTGGGGGGGGGGGTGTCAAGTAATTTTTACGAGTTGACGAGGGTGGATTGTGGGTTGTTAACACACTTTTATAAGCATTATTTACAATGGATTAATAATCCTCCATTGTGTTTGCTAAATCGGTCGTTCACTGTTCATATTCAAATCTTCTTTGCTGTCTTGTCCGGATTGGGACTAGTAGCGTAACTCAGTCTCACCTGAGACTTGTTACACTCGATGTCTGTACTACAAAGAGATTGTGAATATCTTTGTCATTGCAATTAATAAGGTTTTGTTGCTGTACCTTTTGTTGTTGATCAAATTGTCAATAAGTGATAAAAACAAACTGCGTACTTGCAGCCAACAAAGAATATCAGCAAAAGTCGTTCTAACATTACCAATAAGTATAGAAAACAGGGTGCAGACTGTATCGCTTTAAATGGTTTAGCAGCTGCAGATCATTGTGAATGCGTCGAACTCCCTATTTTCTTTGTGCGTTTGTTTGATAAAGCTCTACGTTAAATTGTTTACTATTTAAGGGGTGGCCGAATAATTTATCTATCCCTAATAATATAAATTGGTATAAGGCTTATTAAAGATCTAATCTAACCGATGCCCACATACGATAGTGTTTCTTTGTGAATTGCCTCACATTTGTGAACCTTTATCGATCGCGACCGACTATTCGCGAAACCCATGCAATTCTAAATGTAATGATAAATGGGCAAGGTGTCTGAACAAGGGCTAATATATTTCGACAACAAATGACTCCGAAGATAATTTAGGTGTACTTAAAACAATGATCTCGGAGTGTCGGAATTAAACTGGTAAATCATGCTCTTTCTCAGTAAGGGACAGCGTGTTGTTAAAAAATATGGTGGTGCTGATGGTGTGTATGGTTTGATGCACGCGTGAATAAAGTTGGGATTGGATTTGTTATAATACTGATTCTGCTTGCTACTATGGGTTTTAATGGAGCAAAAGATACAGCTATATCGCGTGAATAGAACGTTTACAAAGCTTTTCAGATAGGTCAAACAGGACTGAAGAAAACCCACAGCCGCTGGCGCCCATTCCAGATATATCGACGCAAGCTTTGGACAAAACGGACCGAACTACCGCACACTGAGTAGTCTGAAATTTTAACTAGATTATATGCGAATAAAAAATCGGCATTTAATGCGCTTTCCTTCCGCGTTAAACACACAATCTAATACAGTTAAGAACTATATTACCAAAAAATTTTTCCTATTCTTCTTTTACTAATGTAACAAAATCAGCTTGCAACATACACTTTTTTCGTGCCCATTTTAGTCTTAACCTTTCTCTCATCTTTTGAAGAATGTTTATGGTCATTGTCGTGCTGGAAAATATTGATGGTATGTATTGTTTTCAATTTATGTAACCTTTCTTGTAAAATTTGTAGTATTACTACGCGGCTACTGCAAGGTGTAAAACGCACGTTTAATAAAATATCAATTGTAATTTTTGCCGGGCAAAAAAAACTAGATATAGAAGTAACCGACTTTTTGCATAAATTTGATTAGGTTCTTGAATACTTACTTCAATGAAACAAATATTGTTTATAAACGTGACGTTGTATTTTGAACTCCAACAGGTGAAATTTCTTATGCATGTTCGCGTATATTTTGGTATGGCAACGAATCCGTTGTCGAGAAAATTCATCTAGAAGCGAATTAAAATTGTGAACGTGACAATAACGTATTACTAAATACAAGCATATAAAATTTTTGAAGAAACCTTGCTAATGTTCACATTCCAATTTTGCGAGTTTTCATCTAGCGTATTATCATTAACTAATCGAGTTAAGGCTGTTTCTTAGGATTGGTTGCAGCGAAAGTCAAGGTAACAAACTGTTAAGCGCGTAAAGCAAGTTTTGATAATGAATTCAAATGCATCAGGATAGTCTTACAATACTTTCTGGTCTCCACGCAGGCGTGCGCCAGATTAATGTTGATCTCTAGACTATGTGAGGCAAATGTTCTCGCAACTGAACAGGAATACAAAATAGCAAAAGTTAGTAATAAATATAATGCAATGCTTTAGTGGTCGTGCAAATTTCCTGCCTCACCTTAATAAACACGTCATTCGTCTCATAAACTCTACGCGTTTCGGCAATTGCCACAGCAATCCATTTGGCATAAAAATTAAAGCTGAAGAATTCGCACACTTTCTGATATGATGCGCTCTTTCGTCATAATCACCCTTCTGTCCCTCGTTGTGTTTAACCAGAACTGTCAATACGTATATGTTATGTTAATCGCATATAGACAAGAGCTTCTCTAATCCGTGTCGGCCGTTGATAGTGATGTTGTTGCGTGGCGAATAGTATTCGTGCCTCGGTAGGTCAGAAATAACCTTTTTGTATGTTTCCTCAGCCTTGCGGTAGTTGCGGTAGTTGCGGTCTTTTTCTTCAAGAATACCTAAACATAGACGGGTAGACCGGATTCGTACGGATACTTCAGTTGAATTGTTCGTAGCTTAAATGAAAGCGGCAGAGGATCTATGAACAACGCGATGAGCTGCCCTCTCAAATGAACTTGGTCACGTCCAGCATCATCGTTCTCTTACAACCGGCACAGAAATTCCTTGATACCTTGAACTTTTTCAACAAGGCTTCTTGAATCCGAAAAAAAGAAAAATCATCTAATGACTAATATAATGTACAACTCGGATCGGATTAAGACAGGCGACTCTTACAAAGTTCCTGTTTTTAATTATTATTTTTTCATTTACAATACACGGGCTCTGCCAAATGATGCCATAAGAATTAACAATTAGAATAGCAGTAAAGCTTCGTCGCTCTTATAATAAGGGTAATTCCCACTCGTAATCATTATTCTAACTGTCATATCACGGCACCAAACCATACCATCGGAGTCTCCATATCACCACCAATAACACGACCAAGAGCAGACCATCCATTCCTATGTATCACGTCCAATCAAGAGAAAAGAGTGGAGGTGTCATTATTCATAGATAATTACTATTATAATGGTGCAAATGCGAATAAATACGTTGGCATTTACTTACGCTTGATATTCCAATTCTCGTGACCATGGGTGTGAAGCGACCATGACAATGAAAAACGACCTGGTAGTAGTAGTGGAAGAAGATTCTTATAAACACGGATTTCTGACATCTCGTGTAACAGAAGTTAAGATTAGGACAGCCAATAATAATAACAATAAGTATTATAACATTTGTCGAAGGCAATTAGAGAATGTAAGATCGGAAACGCGAAAGCTTTCTTCTCATTAAACCAACTGACAATTGAATATATATCACTGTGCCATTTGGTAAGTTTTTGTATACGATGATCATAGCGACATCAATAGAATGTTAAACCACAAATAATAAGTTTTATATGTTTCGCGAGAGAATCGGATAACTTAACTGAGTATGTTTTGGTTTTTTTTTATTCCACTAGCCCAAAGTCCTCTGAGATATGAACTCGAAGCTATAAGTTCAAGCATTCCTGTGACAATGCTGAAAAAATATTCGGTGTCTATTTGAGAAAATGACTTATGAGAACGATGGGAGATACACGAAGCTTGATCTCAAAACGAACCACAAGTCTTCTTTATTATTGTAAATTCTCAAAATACTACACGATGGTTTTATGCATCAAAATCAAACTTCTCTACTATTTCTACATTTAATAGAATATTGCTTCGCTGGGACTAATATTTGACCAATCGCACCACAAGAATTCTTATTCGTTGACATAAT